CACTGTAAGTCTTCAAGTACATTTTCATTTGGATTAGGGAGGTAAATGTTACATATTTTATGTTAATAGGTCTGCAGTTGATATTGCATAACATAGATACAACAGCAGCTTACAATTTAGTGTTTAAGATGTGTTTCCTGTAAACAGATTACTAGGGGGAACAATTCTTTTATTAATATATTAAGAGATTCTACATTGTTATAATATCTGTTTAGGTTCCATTGTAAAATAAATGTATTAGCCATTTTGGGTACCTGACTGGGAAACAGAGATATCTCACTTTCTATATCCGATGAGGAATTAGTGATATTGAGTTGTAATCTTTTTCTTAGCTTTGTTAATTTGGATTTTATACCACGGTCTAAAATATGATCATGTGCAAATAATAGAATATCTTTAAATGATATCATATCCGTTGTGTAGTTTTGTACAATGGAGTTAGGGTTTTTTGAGTTTATGGCATTTTGTATCGCATCACAAATAACATTAGAATCAAGAGGAAATTTTATGGACCTACACTCAAATTTATTTTTAATGGTCTCTAACTCTTTAATAATATCAGAGGATGAGGCTTTTTCACGTTTCATTATGTGTTAAGGTTTTGCAAAAAGAGTTGTGGCAGTTGATGTTTCTTGTATATCAGGTGAGGTAGATATCTATCTTTTAGTTGTGTGGGGGTGGTACTTCGGTAATTAATTGAGGAAAATTTGTTTCATTGGTTCTTTCTGTGAATAAAGTGTATTTTTCTAATGATGGTTGATCAGATACTAACGTTTCAGTGTTAAGAATTTATACGTTAGTGTGGTCGGTATCCATTAGGGGAGGTTGTTGTGGAATTACATTCTCTAGTTGATATGGGCTATTTATGTTGAGGGTTGTTTGACATGTTGATGGACAATCAGTTTCCCGATGTCCTTTTGTTGCATACGGTAGTTGGTGTTATTATAGTAAATTGTAACAAAGTCTGAAATCAGGGTAGTATCATCAGAAGTAACAAACACTAGGCGGCAAAAGCTTAAAACATGGCTGTATGCAGTATCAAGCATGACTACTTTCAAAAAAGTTATTCTAGATACTGTTTGAAGTCCCAGATTTTTCAGTTCATATTCTATTCAAGTGTTTGGGATGGAAGGGCAGACATTAGAAATGACGAGTCTTGTGGCTGGGGTGATTATTCTTCTAATTTCAATTTTTGTATTGTTCAATATTAGTGAATTATGTGCTTGCAGTAAGGAATCCACGACACTAGTATTGGTAAGGTAAATACATACTCTATTGTTTGAGATACATGAGGCAAATATAATATTTTTCGGTTGCACTAAATTTCTTACGGCAATAATGTATTCATTAATTTTGACGTCATTGATATTGGAGAGAACAACAGCTTGCTCTTTGGTCGGATATTTGAAAGAAGTAAGGGCACTGGAAAATGTATTTGGTTGGTTGGTATGGTGAGAAGCAGAAGCTTCTCCATCAGAATTTCCATCTATTTTTGAATTTATTCCGCATACTTCCCAACCCGATTCTCAAAAAGGCCCTGTCTCGAAAGCCGGTAGGAACAGAAGATAAGAACAAAAAGTGGTTTCTTATCGGTACTCTTGGATATCAAGTTTTGAGGTTACAGTATTAATCAGTAGCTAATATTTAGAAATATGCTACTCACAGTTACGATTCATAGCACAAATTAGCACACTTACTATACTGGTTTTACTGATATACTTTTAAAATAAATATTTGGTTAAATTTTTAGAAAAATATTATTAATTCAGGAGACGTCTTAGTTGCTGTATTTCAGTACTATATCCAGAACCGGAATTTAAAAATATATTTTATATTGAGACATTATTGCCGTTATATGTAACCAATATGATGGAAATTGCACAATATAGTAAGACAATAATTAATATAGGTTTAACCCGGCATTACACGCCCCAAAAAACTTAAGTTGTAACACGCTCACGGTCAGATAGATTCTATACATAGTTTTGGTTTTAATTAATAAAAAAAAGTAAAACTTAAATATAAACCAAAAATCTTTTATATTAAACTTACGTTATAATTTTTTATTTATTGTTGGCTTTTATAGCATTCAGTACAAAGCTGGGAGGTATGTTCCTGGCATATACACTTTTTACACTATACGCATAGGGTCTTCGTTTTTCTGTTTTTTTTTTTCAACGAGCAAAAATGACATCTGCCTGGAACATTATACTGGCTATCTTGCGTAGATATCTCAGGGACGTCCAATATTTTTTTATACGACTTCTCATAGTTATTGGTAACATAACCATTACTCGACGACGTTCAAGTTGCGGTAAAATGCGACTCATTGTTGATGATTTTAAAAAGTTTCGGCGAATACTATGACTATTGTAATTTTTGTCAGCAACGATATAGCTATTTATTCCACATATATTCAACGACATAAAAAATAATATTAGAGGCCATCGAAAACTTTTTCGTGACACAGAGTAAGTTTATTTTAGCTCGTCAACAGTATCAACACCACCCTTTTTTCCATTGTAAAATGTATCATTGTTGGCTTGTATGCATCGCCACTTTCTGTATTAATCTTTTTCTTTGTAATGCATTGTTGACAATAATGTAACTATTTTGTTTTGCTTGTGCTTGTAGGATACCAAAGTCGTGTCTTCGGTGAAACCAAAAATGCTGGAAGTATCTTTACGCTCCTTTAGCTTTGCAGTAAAAATCTAAAGAATTTCTTTTTTATTTTTGTGAATTGTACCCGTTACAGTTAGTTTGTGTTTTTTCAGCAAATTCAAGGCTAAAGGTATTGATGTAAACCAATTATCGAAAGTTACATTTCTTCCAGTTCCAAAAATTGGTTTAATTAATCTTTGTACGACTGAAGAAGCGCTATTGTCAACTTTATCAGGCCCGTTTGGTTAAGTCCCAACATACACCTCTAGACTATAGGTGTAATATAACGTGAAATTAACAAGCGCTAAAATTCACATTTGCGGCGAAATGTCTCAAGCATTTCATCAATTATCACAAATTCACTTAGAGCATAATTGACTTTGTATCGCTTAACAAATTAATCAACAAATTCTCTTATACGAGATAGCTTATAGTACTGTTTTCGTTCCTCTCTTCAATCAAGATCGTCAAAGCAAAGCGCTCGCAACAAAAATGAAAACCGATTAATTCCTACTTTAAGACGAAAAATCTCTACGCCCGTTCCATCCTGTACCCACAGATCTCTCAAATGTAGGTGTGATGACCGCAAGACTTTAGCAAAATATGGAAAACTAATAAGTGCTTTAATTTCTTCCATATTTGTACTGGTGACATCTCTGTCTCTACTGTAATTTGTCCGAAGCTTTAGAATATATTTGTTTGTGTGTCCAACTATTTCGGTGATGCGGAGTCTGGAAAAACAATTGCCAAGCATCAATAATGGTTTTGCTTCTCTGGCTTTATCAATTACTCCAAAAGATTGAGTCACTATGTTTCTGATCCGAGTCTTTTTTTAAAGATACGGGAAATTTATTCCACAACGTCTTTTTGTCCCTTTTCATAAAACACAGACAAGTAGTTAGATCTTGCTGAGTTCGATAAAATCTGGTAGTTCTTCTCTATCTAACTGCACTGAATTAGAGTCAAGATCATTGTTCTCCAAAACGTAATCTTGGCCTTCAGTAGGTCAACCTTTCTCAGTAACCTATGGCATGAAATACGCTTTATTGCTTTCTCGTAAGAACACATACATATATAACATACTATTAAAAATCACCATACATGTGACTATATTTTCCACTAAAATATTAGACATAAAAAATATTATAAAAAGAACCATACACAGGATTCACTGACCGTATTATTAACTTTAAAAAGCACACCAATATCTAAAACTGCAACACAAATATCTTTAATACTTATGTACACGCGCACTCTCAAAAGCAGCGATTACAAAAACTGTATCACTCCAAGGCCAAATATAAAACTGATAATAGAAAATAGAACACCAGTAGGTAGTATGTAAGGGGAAAACCGCGTTTGTTTTTACATGTAACTGAATCTGATATTAAAAAGGCATATTCGGGGATAGCATCAGGATTAAACGGGATGATTTGTCTGGCAAAGCTGCTTGCACGCATGCCTTTGTAAGCAATTCTCAAAACGCCAGTCTCGAAATATTTCTGTTTGGGTTCATTTTAATGTATAAATTACAAGTATTTTAATATGATTTTAAATCTTTCACAAATGTTGTCAGAAATATAATTTATCGTTACTGAAGCTTGTACAATTTTATGGACCTTACAAAACTAAAAAAATTACAATATTAATTTAAAAATTATTAAAATTACATAAATCGTCAATATCAAAAAATAACACATGGGAAAATATACAATCCATTACAAAATTTAACTAAATGGCAAACTGCATAATAAAACTTTATGAACCAATAAGTTTGCTGCATGTGATATTCACATATATATCAAAATATTTAGTGTTGCTTGTACTTAAACCTACCTCAATTTCTTAATTATTCGTTAAAAAACTCTTCCACTGAATAATATGGTGTTTCAGATAGATATACTTTTGTCAATTTACGGAACTTAAGGAAAGAAGTTGTAGATTTAAGTTGCAAAGGGAGATGGTTGCTTAATTTTTTTTTGCCAAATATATTATAGATTACTTTATTAATTTAGAGGACGGTATCGGTTAATACACATCAACGGTTGAATTTTTGGTAGAGTAGTCATGATTAGGTCTTGCAGGAAAACATGTAGGTGTTTACGAATTAAGTAAACGTGTAATGACCGCAGATAATGGATCATATGGTTAAAGATGTCAGTTGTTACGTACGCCGACTTTTGTGACACGAAAACTATAGAATCAGGCAGCATACCGTCCTTATCCCCAATTTTTTGGTGCAGCTACGCTCTAAGATCCCTTTGATACGAACACATAACCTGGTCTATTATTTAGTTAAAGTCCAGGTTCATCTACGTTAAATATATTTTCTGTTTTAGCAAGGAGGTTATGCTCTATCAACATCTGCAGCAATGAAGAGTAGTTTGCAATATTTTTCTTGTATAAATCCCTTGATTGGGTATTTGGCAAATTATATTTTTCGGTCAGTTTACATACCATGATAGGTACTTATATTCTATTCGGTGCAAATTTGATTTTTTGTAATCTTGTGCAATGTTTAACTATCTTCTTCTCACATTCCTTTTTAAAGCACCCCTTTGCTATTCTTGTCTTCAGCGTAGACCATGGAACACGAAAATCCCTTTATTTTTTATTCAGGCCTATTCAAATATATATGATACGCAGATCACTTCTATTTATGGTAGATCATGTATAAAAGCCTTTGAATGCTTGAGATCGATTTGTTTATACCAGTGGTTACGTTTCATTTATTTCACCCAGTCCGATATTGTTCCTTTTGGCTCTGCTTCTTGCTATGCCAACGACAGGTTCTGGGCATATGAATGTTTCTTTTACCTCTATTCTGGCAAGTAGGTCCGCTTTTTCGTTTACTTTTATCACCAATATGTCCAGGCACCTAGATTTCTTTTTCTGATCAGATTCTGAAGGCCGTGTTAAACTAACTTGGAGTCAATTCGATTCGATTACAGTGCCCTTAGTGTGGCCTGCAGGGGCATTTCTATCACATAAATTTTTGACTGGAAGATAGTAGAGTGATTACCTAGGCCTTAAACTAAGGCTTAGCCTTGGTGTTTCTCCCTATACACTAGCTTCAAATTGTTAAGCGATTTTAGAGCCTTCTTTATATCAGAAATAATCTGTCATTATGAGATTCGTTTTATTCGCCTCCCATTCATTTTTGCCTAGAAAGAGGACGGTTTGAAGGGCTTTTCGAAATTATATTTAGGTGGAATTGCATCTGGTACCATTTTCAACTCTGGGTGATTTTTAATTATCTCACCAGATTTGATTTGATTATCTCACCTGAATTGAGTATCCTTTTGCTCTGATTCCTGTTATCTTATCTACCTTCTATACGCCCCTACTTTTGCCTCCTTCTCCAATTACATATATGGGAAAAAGTATAGTCTCTATTTAGGCAGTTGGGGTAGTCGACATCGGCACACGTTATTTATGTGTGTTGTTTTCTTTGTTTGTGGTATATTCTTGCATAAGTCTTCTTTCTTCTACTAATGTTAAGGTTTCCCTAACATTCAAGGTTTAGCCTTTTGGATTTTTTGCGATGTGCAATTAATTTCTCCAAATCCATCCAAATATTTCGTTCCAGCTTTTTATTCCATTCCATGGTTTATTTGTGTCTCCTAATATTTGTGGTTATTCCTTGTTTATTAGCTTCATCTTGAATTCTTCAGCATTATTTACCCTTAGTTGTTTTGTCTAATGTGTTTTTCTAATTTTGTGTAGTAAGAGCCTGCTGTTTATTTTTACCAGCTTATTATCTGATTTTTTGCAATATTTCCTCACAAGTATAAAGTCGATTTGATTTTTGAGTTCCTTATTTGAACGTATACGTTAGTAGCCCCCTGGGTTGAGGTTATAAAGTGTATTTGCTATGACTACATTGTTTTGACTGTCAAACTATAGAAAACGTTTTCCTCTGTTGTTTTTAATACCCAAGCCAAATGACCCGACAGTTTATCTCAAATGTGTTACATTTTCAGTTGTTTTTCACCTTGCTTTAATAATATATACTTGCTCCTTTTGTGAGATTTTCTTTAAGACGCAGTATATGCAGTTCTAGTAAATGTCGTTAATGCCTTCTGGGGCATTTGTTGTGGGCATGTTTACCTGAATGACATGAAAATTTTCTCATTTGCTTGTAATGTTATTTTTATGATAGTTTATTGTTTTATATTGCCTGATACGTAGTTTCTGTTTCAAATATCCTTTATCTCTATAACATGTTTCTTCTAGACTACCTATGTCTATATTTTGTCTTATTAGTTATTTCTGTAGTATGTGAAGTTTTCTAGTTTAAAGAAGACTTCTGATGTTCCATGCATTACTATTTAAGAAAAAGAAATATATCATATTTTGCTTCGGTGTTTCTCTTCATGCCCGGTTACACTACCTGTTTGATATAAGTATAGAAATAGATAACTAAATACTCAACATGTACTAAAACTGTATTTACCAAAGTAAGATTAAGACTATAACCTGGATCTACTGCAATGACAATATCAGCATCCAAATCAAAACTAGCATATCGTAGCTTATCCATTATGGTCATCAGATAATGACAATTATCCACAATCAACCAAGCTGCCTTTTCACCATATTTGCTGATTTTGTTAGCCTAAAAAACAATACTAAGTAAGATGTCAGCTTGGAACAACTTAGGTTAATCGCACTACTATTTTGTACAAGACAGTGACGACATGGAATATAATATGATAAGGAAATTAATTAAAGAATATGAGCTTTGGGAATCAAAGAAAAATATGTGTAAAACTAAATACGTATGTATTGGATACGGGGTTGTAGATTTGAACTTAAGTTTAAAGGAAGATACTATTAAAATTTGTATGACTTTTAAGTATTTAAGCCAATAAGGTATATTAAGTATTTAAGCCAGTAAGATAAGCCAATAAGGTATTTGTATGAAAGATATAAAAATGAAGATAGCATGGAAAAAATAAGCCACGAAAATACTCCATGGACTAATATGATACAACCCTTCAACTAAAGAAAATAAAAAATGATCTTACAGAGCATAGTGTTAAATATTACCCTATATGGAACAGAAGCTATAACCAATGACAATAAAAATACAAAATAAAATAAATACAGCTGAACTGGACTTAATGAGAAAATGTCTACCAATCACCAGAGAAGATAGAACACGAACACAGTAAATATGAAATAGAATTACAAAAAAGTTGGAAAACAGAGCTCAGCAGTGGTAAGGGACTGTACAAATAATGCCAGAGTACAGGTGGCTAAAAAAATATTGGATTTAGACTCAGCGGGAAGAAGACGGAGAGGAAGTCCTGCTACAAGATCGAAAACATATAAGAAATGCTCCGATAGATAGAGACCTCAGAGAAGTTTCCTGGGGAATGGAGTGCTGTAAAGAACGAAAATGGCGAAATCATATCGGGAAAGAGCCAAATAAGAAAAACAAGAAGGAGACGAAAAGAAAAAAAAAAAGAAGCAGAAAACAAAATCAAATAGGCCATGATAACTAAATGATCGTGAAGTAAGACAGGAAATATAAAAGGAGACAATAAAAAAGTTTACCAGCAGGATAATTCTAAAAACTTACATTTTATAAATAGCTACTTAAATATTTACCTCTTCTAAGAAGTCCGTCATTGAAAAGTTTGATTCCAAGAAAGTAATAATCCCAATTTTATCGTTGGTTTGATTTAAAGTTACTTCGGAATATATCAGAGATGTGTGAAGAGTAAAATAAATGTTTTTAGATACAAAAGTATTTAAGTTTTCTTTTGCCATTTTTAGGTTAGGTTTAGGTTAGGTTAGGTTAGAGAAGGAGACAATAAAAAAGTTTACCAGCAGGATAAATCTCAAAGTTACATTTTATAAATAACTACTTAAATATTTACCTCTTCTAAGAAGTCCGTATTGAAAAGTTTGATTCCAAGAAAGTAATTAATCCCAATTTTTATCGTTGGTTTGATTTAAAGTTACTTCGGAATATTTCAGAGATGTGTGAAGAGTAAAATAAATGTTTTTAGATACAAAAGTATTTAAGTTTTCTTTTGCCATTTTTAGGTTACTTACTGAAAAATAATTATTAATTACATTAATTATTGTATTTTGATATTTTCTAGAAGAGTATCATATAAAAATAAAAAAATTTGTTATATTGAGACATAGTTATTAGCCTTTTAATTTGTTTATTGACTTTGTACTGAATGCTCTAAAAAATCAACGGAATTTATTCTTAAGGATCTGTAACTATTTTTTTAAGGGGCGTCACCAACATAAACTAACGCAACTTTAATAATATATATTTTTACCATTAATTATAAACAAATTGGGGTGTAGAGTTGTGTTATAGAGGTAGCACCTTTTATCGGAACGACCACATCGAGCGTCATAGACGGGAGATGGTTTTTGATAACTGGTCCTCATAAGACAGCTAACTCTCACTTATGGCTCCACGTGCCACACCCCGGGCAACTGCATTGGTTTACAGGCTAAACTAAGTGAAGGTAGCCACATATGGCGCAAATTTTACCGAGCGATTGCCGGTATAAGCGATCTCCCACTTGCTGACCAACGGCTTCGGGCGGATGAGTTGGTAAGTGGTAGGGATCAAACTAGCACGCAGCGTCTGACCCATAGTGGGCGGCTGCAAATAGCGTCTGTGTCCAGAGGATCGGCTAAAATACAAACCAGAGAAGGCAACGGGAAACCACTCTGGTATTTATTTCCCAAGAAAACTACAATAAAAGCACAAACGAAATGGTTCCACAGTCCCCGGCAGATCTTAGTGATCAAGGGGTGCGAAGAATCTCCGGGAGGAATAACCTAAATATTTTAAATACAAACTTTAAGATTGCAACATGGAACGTTAGAACTCTGTTCGAAAACAGGAAAACTAGCAAATGCATGCCACGAAATGAAACATTTAGGGTTGCAGATATTGGGTTTGAGTGAAGTTAGATGGCCAGGTTCAGGTAAAGTTCAGATAAAAACCATGAACAAAAACTTTCTATTACTAGGGTAATAATGATCCGGTTCATCGTAACGGGGTTGGAGTAATTTTAGAAGACAAATATAACAATGCCGTCACAAACTTTGTGCCATTTTCGGACCGATGTCTTCTTATTCAACTATCCGGAAAGCCAGTATATATTAACATCATTCAAACTTATGCCCTACGGCCGATTAAACCCATAGAAGAGCTAGAAGCCTGGTATGCTGACGTTAGAAAAACTTATAAAGATGACCAAAAAACGAAACCTAACATTTATCTTAGGCGACTTTAATGCTAAGTTAGGTAGAGAAAAAGTTTCTGGATGATCGAGAGACTTCGGACTTGGAGCAAGGAATGACAGTAAAGAAACAAAAACCTCACATCAACTATTAGACATCCAATTATTGAAAAACGACACCATACATCAGACA